TGCAGATTTCCCAAATGTTGACATATTTCATTCTACAACATGAAAGTTTCATTATACAAGGTAGCAAATCATATTCATCAATACTACCCCATCAGCAATCTCATCAGGAAAGTCCTTAAGTTGGGGGGGGCTGTCAAACCTACAGTGGCAGATGCAGGTTTTCTAAAATCCTATGTTGGCTTGAAAGCTCAAATTCATTATTGACAAAAAACATGCCCAGTTTTTTAAGTGTCAGTCTTCCTTTGTTCAATTTGGAAAAAATGTCTGCAAATACTCGTGCCTGAATGACGATAGTTTGTCAGTTACTCTTGAAGTAAAATAGTATTCCTTGAAAAAAAAATAACAAACGGCTAGTTGAGCACACAACTAAACCAGTATTTGTCGGGGAGGCTGCCACTGTACTTCGGTATACTGAAGGAGCCCCAATTCATCACACAGAACATTAAAAAGATGTGCCCTTAAGTAGAGGTTTAATACAATAATGTTCCTGGCCTCATTAGGAAAATTCTTAGGTGAAGCTGGATTTGCTTGCTTACAGTAAGTAAATGCACTGACTGAAGAATACAGGAACTACTCGTGCAGTCAGATGGCCACTGCCTTGGTTTGTGCTGAAGTTACCAGTGCTACCCACCAGAGCTTTTACACCAGTCTCAACACAGTGGAAAAGGCAAGTTTAACTAACACCTTAGTGAGTCATCACCATGAAAAGAATTTTGACATTCTCTAAAAGGGTCTCAAGGAAAATCACAAATCTTTACAAAAGACTTCATGAACCTGGGCTTCAAAGTAAAGGAGTTCGGAACATGCCACCCCCAATTATGCTACTCTGGCATGTTGACTGTTTTGAGTTAAAGACACTTTAAAAAACATCCTCATCAGACTCAGAAAGGGCTCTCTGAACTTCCTAAAAGCAGGAGATGAAACTCCCATGTGGAAGGTGTCCTCCCGTGGGGAATCGCAGCTAAGAGACACGTGGACAAAGTTAGTTAAACTAAGCCTGTGTTCTAGTCCCTTCTCCACAATTAACCACCCCAGTCCAAGCCCCCTCGCCTTGCCACCACCTCACAACTTACTGCTCTTTGTCCAGCTAGTGTTGTCCCCTAACAGCTTCTTTGGGTCTTCTTTACAAGGACTAGCGTGGCATGTAAAACTTATACCTAGCTCACTACGAAGGTTTTGAGACAGACTGTGTTATGATCCATTGGTTCACTTCCAAGAAACACAGTTGACAGCATCCTTTCTGATTCACCCATGCAAGTTTCAACTTGCTCGGCTGATCGGTGTTGCTGGGAGACAGGGATTTTATATTTCTTGATTTTTGTGCATCTCAAACTTTCATAACGACCCACATATTCAATAAATGTGTATACTTTTCTGATAATCTGTCTTACATCAGTTTAATTCTCAGACCTACTCAAAAAAGGCAGAGGTAAAATCTTCCCTCCTTTACAAAAGGAAAACGTATACAGCATATAACTCTGTGCACCTTCTCACACAAGTGTGCCCCCGATTCCTGAAAAGCCCCAACTCCTCACTGCTCCTGTGGCACCTGTGCCCTGTGGCAACGTGCAGACGTGGCTGCTCAGTGTGAATCACAAGGATTCCCTCCACCTCCAACGCGGTGTACTTTGCAACCACTAGAAGTGTGTGAAAACACAGAGATGCCTACGTTCACCCCAGGGATTATGACTGAATTGGTGGGGGGTGTGGCCTGAGCGCAGCCATTTCTTCCAGTTCCCTGGGTAATTCCAACCACCGCCCTGCCCCCGTCCTTCCCAGAGTGTGAAGCTTTCCATGTTTCCTTTAAAGCATCCGCTCTCAAACTGCAGCCTGGAGAGCTGTTTAAAACACAGATCCCCCTGCCCCACAGCCCAGATCTGGCCTTAGAATTTACATTTTTATCAAGTTCCTGGTTTCCAGGTGAAGCTCATACTGGTCTGGGGGCTACACTTGGAGAGCTACTGATGGAGGCTGAGAGCAGCAGGCAGAGCTGCCACACAGACCTACTTGAACTTAGGTGGTTTCCTTAATAACTCTGTCTCACTCTTCTCTCTCTTCATTGACCGGGAATGGGGAGGTAGGGGGGTGTTACAGATTCTTTGGTAGTTTTTGTCCCATTTCAGTCTTTTTACTTGCACTTCAGTTAATGTTGATTTAGTCACACAGCCTCCAACTATGCCTAAGTTGAGCGCCTCTAAAAATAAGTTCCTTTAGTCATTAATTGTCAAGATGCTTGTGAAATTTCTATCTGCAATGCATATATTATTATTAAAGTGCAGTAAATAAAATCTATAATGTTCATGTAAATGTGTACCAATTAGATGTTAATTCCATGTACTTACAATCTGTATTCTATCTTCAAGGGCAAATTAAATATATCTTATTTCATGTTTCTACTAATTCAATTTCAAAAATTCCACAGTGAAAGCAGCCAAGATTTACTTCCATTAAGAAACTGCATGGTAGCAAATTAAAAGGTGACTTAAAAATACTTATAAAGACTGGTCTCAAGGCTTATCAACAACATTAATGAAATGGTCCTGGTACATCAACCCCAAAGCACGTAATACTGGAGCTGAAATGCTCTCTCTGCCTGAACCACTTTTTTAAAAGTGAAGAAAAGAATCTGATTTCCCAGCCCCTGGCCATGCCAACCATGGAAATCATACTTATCTGTCAAATAAAGCTAAATCATACTTATCTGTCTCAGTGGGCAGTGAAAAAAGTAAATGCATATTTTACATAACCAATACCCATGCCCTGTAGGATATTGTTTTTCTTATTTAAGCAGATATACATAATAAGGACTTTTCAAAAGTGAACCGAGTATTTCTAATGGTGCTCAGAGGAGACTGGAGACAGAGCCACCTACAAATGGAAGGCTTCTCCGTCATGGCTGAACATGGAAACTGCCACGAGATGCTTTCAGAATCTCCAAAGTCAGGCTGTACCAAGAGCAATTAAGTCAGGAGAGCCGGTGTAGGATCCAGTCATCAATAATTTTTTAGAGCACCCCCAGTCTCCTGAGTGAAACCACTGTGCAGCAGGTAAAGAACCACAGTGTCATGACCCTGCGGTTCTTAGACAATTTTTAGGCCCCTGAAATTCAACTTTAGAAAGGGCTGAAAGTGCTGAGATTAAAATAATGATAAATCGCCGAGATAAAAGGGCCATGAGCAGCAGCGGCTTATGAGGAAAAATGCTGCTGAAATACTTTCATCTTTTTTATTCCTCAATAAAATAACCAAATTGATGAATGAAGGAAAATGCACTTGACTCTCTGTGGTTTTATTAGGGTGTTAGTGTCCTACAGAAGATTCGGCCAAAAATCAGTTCAAATTAGCTCTGTCAAGTGGATTGCAAACTGGCTGGCAGCTGAGAGCAACAAAGAAACTTCTTGAGGTTTAATGAGGGCTGGACAGAGAGTTAAGTGACAAAAATAAGGTCACTCCTGAGTCTGGTTTTATTTAACTATCTTTGGAGAAAAACAACCATTAATTTCCATTTACTGAGAACACTAGACCACTATATTCTCAAGTGTTAGTGGGGAGAAAAACACGGACAGACTAGCTTCCAAGACTCTCCTGTGCCAGGCAGGCCAGCACTGCTCAGTCTGGTTAAGGTACAAAAGAGATGCAGTCCCAGCCGATGTCAATGTATCTAGTCATCCAAACGGATGAATCTGCAAAGACACAGAACTGTAAAACTATAAAGGCGAAAGGGCCTGCTTCTAAGAATGAAGAGTTGTTGAGGGTATGGGCTTTGAGGCTGGATCAGAAGTGAATTTACAGCTTCTACTGTGTGATCCTGGGCAGGTTAACCCCAGAGAGCTGGGGCTCCCAAGATGTGAAGTGGTCCTTCAAGGACAGCCAGAGGGAGGGCGGGCCAGGAAGGACTCCTAGCTATGTCTAGGAGCAGGGTTTAGAACAGCAGTTCTTAACCTATGGGTTGCGACCCACAGGAACTATATTAAAGGGTTGTGGCATCAGGAAGGTTGAGAACCACTGGTTTAGAAGAAGACAGTGGTGAGCCGCCTAAGTCTCCGGAACACTTTGGAGTTGCAGAAGGATTACTCTGGGTAGAGCTGCAGGGCAGGACACTGAGCCAGAAGCTGGTGAACTGCCAGCAGGAAGATGCAAGGATCCTGCTGGGATGTTAGAAGCAGAGACGCAGGACAGAATCAAGAGACAATCTAGGAAACATACAAGTTAATTGGAGGAGATGATAGAGAGTTCGATGTCATTCTTACTATTTACCTGCAGATAGCATACTAGCTGGTTCTTTTGAAATCTTCAATAGTAGGGAAAGACCAGGGTTACTGTACTTCTAAGAAAGTGAATTTAGAGACAAGAATAATCCGGCATGGACGTTTTAAACTCTTATCTCTATTATATATTTAATATTAGGACAATTTTTTGCAAAAGGTATAAAAACTGAATGAAAGGACATTGATATTGGCTTGAAATGCTGACACAGGATACCCTTTTCTCACCAATCTATGCTCATATGAAGGAAACATGTTTATAAAACTGGAGGTGAATTAGAAATTTAACAGAGTGACAGTGTAGTCCCAGACCAGAGGGGAATCTTCCGACTTGCTAATCTGGTACTCAATGTCTGAATAAAATACTCTTTTCTTATCAAAACAAAAAGAATTTCTTCAGATATATTCTTTCTATGAAAACCTTTGTGTTTTTCTTTTATCATAAGACTAGGTATGTGAAGCCAGATGAGAAACGAGACCCAGAAAGTTCATTAGCGCCTGGCTCACATTTACTGTAACCAACCATTTGCCACTTTGGGCCACATACATTTTCCATTTAAATTTCTTGAGAAATAAAAAAGACAGATCATCAGTACAAGCACATGTTATACCCAGCAGAGTGTTGGTCATCCAGATCTTAAATTACTTGTGGCATTCTGACTGGTCCTTGGTAAGATTCATTTATAATGAGCACACTTAGTAGGCCTTCATGTACCATTTGCTAAAACATTTAGGAAAGTAGTCACTTTTGGCTATCTGGACTTCTCTCCATTTCAAGCCACCACCATCACCTCTTGCTTTCACAGAATGTCTGATATTCTGTGTCTTTCCCCACCCACCACCCCCAGAAAGCTTAAGTTCAAAATCTACTAGAGCCAAAAAAACTGCTGGAATATTTCCTCTCTACAAAAATCTGTTACTGTGATTTGAATGTGGAGGTAAAACGTTGCTATGTCTTTGTTCACCAGCTTTAGGTGAGCTGTTCCACAATTACTGCCAATTACCCAAACCATTTCTACAACAATCAGTCTCTATTTTTAAAACTAGAACCCCTTGGCTTTTGCCTCAGGAAAGCTTTATTAAGAATGTTTCTTTGAATTCTTCTTGAATACTGTTCAATACCCTTTGAAGCTCTGACTTAAGCACTATAAAAGGTATCCGCGCAACAGAAATATGTGCATCTTTTTAATATCTTAAAATGAAAAATAAAAAAGAATGTTACTTTGAATTCAGATTTAACTGCATCTGTGTGGTCAAGCTGTCATATAAACTGCAAGAGTCTCGAGGCCACTCTTAGCCAAAGACGCGGTGGTAAAAGAACAGGTTATGCTCATGAGATTGGAAATTTCCAGTCGTGATCAGAAAACGTTCCCAAGTGTGGCAGCGGCAAATGATGAATGCAAGAATCGATCCCCAAAGAGAATAACAACAATCAAATCACAGAGCAGGTGATTAAACTGTTATTATTATTCTCACTGGCACAGCATGGCAAAACATCACCGTCTTTCCGTAACTTTCTACTTACCAACTTAAATGTCAGTGTTTTTAAAGCTTTGGGATCATCTACAATCTTCTGTAAATTAGCAGCCACTGTAAAATACAGACATGGAGAAAAAGTGTCTGAATTATTTCCCATAACACTGGATTTTCACATCAATGATTCAGAAGATTTGACTAATGATGTAATAAAGTGCAAAATCATTTCCTTCACAGACACTGCAAAGTCCATATAAATGACCAAATTACTCTCATATAGATATTTTCTACAACAACTGATATCGTTTCAGCAATCCTGTATCCATGCACATCTGAATTAATCACGATATGTCAAGCCCACATTTCATATAATAAAATTTGAAATTACTTTTTAATGGAAAGTGGAAATGATACAGTCCCCAGTGTTCTCGCCACTTGGTGTTTTTTTTTTTTTCTTTTTTTCTCACTCATCAC